CCCCAGATTCGACCAAAACTCCGAGAGGCCATGGCTCCGCCAGTTCTCCTCCCCTCCGGCCACCAGACGACCCACCTGTTTCTACTGTGGCATACCGGGTCACATAGCAAGATTCTGTCGCCGTCGCATCGCGGATACTTCTCGGGCATACAATCCTCGAGCCTTCCCACAGTACAGAGGTTATCATCCCGACAGTTATCATCAGGACGCAGAAGAACACTTACTTAGTAACCCACGGCGTTCAGTTTCCCCTTCATATCGCGCCCGTGCAAACCGAAGCCCCTCACCTGCAGGATACCGGCGACGTTCTCCGATGCGGGTTGACCAAACGCTGCCCAAATCGTTTCACGATGGGGAAAACTAAAGGAAGCAGCTAAAGGGGGTACGGCTGCTCCTTCACTTCCTCGACATCCCCCACCGACTACGTCTTCTTCAAACCGATCAGACATAATCATTAAGAAGGTAAGCTTCACAGCACTTGTCGACACAGAAGCGTCCATTTCTATAATTTCTGACCGTGTCCGGAAACGATTGCGACTTGTTTGTACACCCTGGGAACACGGTAGTCTTCGTAGCGCAAACACAACACTGATTTATCCCCTCGGCCTAGTTTCTGTCGAGATTATAATTCAAAATGAACCTCATCGTCACATTTTCGCAGTTCTACCGAGTTGCTCACACGACATTATTTTAGGCTGGGACGTTTTAGTGACTCGACGTGCGCTTATTGACAGTGAGACGAAATTGCTATACCTTAGCAAAGTTACTCCTGGCGTTGAACCTCTTTCATACAACCGTGTTTCTTTCCGTGCAACAAGTAACACTCGAATTTCACCCTTCACTGCAGCGCTTATTCAGTTAACTGCAGACCTTCCAGACTCCGATTATTTACTGGAACCGAACTTAGAAGTTTTCTTTCAGAAAGGTCTCGCGCTGCCCTTTGCTCTCACGCGATCGCGTTCTTGTATATCTACTGTTCTCGTAGCAAACACTACAAACATCTACCAAATCCTTGCAGCTGGTTCATGCATTGCTACAACGACGCTTCACGACGTCATATACATCAATGCTGTTAGCGATACCTGCTTGACGTCCAACGCACCTTTGATTTCCGACTCCATGGATGCCCACAAATTGCTTCGCCAGACCATTAACGCCAGTTTGCCTGAGTCACAACGTGACGCCTTGCATAAGCTACCGTGCTTTTTTCTTGATATCTTTGACTTTCAATCTACTCCCCTGACACAAACGTCAATTGTTCAACATACCATTGCAACGGGAGACCACCACCCTTTACGCAGTCGTCCATATCGTGTCTCTGCCAAAGAACGCGAAGTTATACAAAATCATGTGAGTGACATGTTGCGCAAAAATATCATCCAGGATTCATCCAGTCCCTGGTCATCTCCGGTGGTACTGGTTAAAAAAAAAGGATAACACCTGGAGATTCTGTGTTGATTACAGGCGGCTCAACAAAATAACCAAGAAAGACGTTTACCCTCTTCCACGAATAGATGACGCCCTTGATAGCCTACACGATGCCAACTACTTTTCTTCGATAGATATGCGTTCAGGGTATTGGCAAACCAGCGTAGACGAAAAAGATCGCGAAAAGACAGCTTTCGTTACTCCTGATGGCCTTTACGAGTTCCGTGTTATGCCCTTCGGATTGTGTAACGCTCCTGCTACCTTCGAGCGAATGATGGATTCTTTGCTCCAAGGCTTGCGTTGGACAACTTGTTGATGCTATTTAGATGACGTTATAATATTCTCATCCACTTTTGACACACTTGTCTCGCCTGACGGCTGTGCTGAAAATATTTCGCGACGCTGGCCTTCAGCTGAACTCTAAGAAGTGCGTATTTGGAAACACTGAAATTAAGCTCCTCGGCCACTTGGTCAGCCACCAGGGCATATCCCCTGATCCCGAGAAATTAACTGCAGTTTCCCAGTTCCCCCACCAACGAATCAAAAGGCTTTGCGCTCTTTTCTCGGCCTGTGCTCCTATTTCCGACGGTTCATTCGTGGCTTCGCTGAAATATCGGGCCCCCTCCACCACCTTCTGAAAAAGAACGTCCCTTTCAATTGGTCTCAACGCGAACAACGTGCATTTCATGCTCTCAAAACCGCGCTTTCAACACAACCCGTTTTGGCCCATTTCAACCCCTCGCTTGAAGTGGAAATACACACTGATGATAGTGGATACGGTCTTGGTGCTGTCCTCATTCAAAAACACGAAGGCAAAGAACATGTCGTTGCCTATGCCAGCCGTGCTTTATCTAAACCTGAAATGAATCATGCAATAACAGAAAAAGAATGTCTCGCGATTATTTGGGTAATTGCTAAGTTCAGACAATACGTATTTGGACGCCCCTTTAAGGTCGTTACAGATCACCATGCCTTATGCTGGTTATCCAACCTGAAAGATCCCTCCGGAAGGCTCGGCAGATGGGCCCTTAAACTTCACGAATACGATGTATCTATATTTTATAAATCTGGTAGAAAACATGAAGCACCTGATTGCTTGTCTAGAAATCCGATAGCTTCAGACCCATCACTCCCTTCTACGCCCATCAATGTAATCGCTTTGACCTCAACCTTAGACTTTGCTGTAGAACAGCAAAAAGACAAATCCCTCCGCCAAGTATTTCCGTGTTTACAGAAGTGTCCTCAGACACGTAAGGAAAAACGCCTTACCAATATCTACACATTGAAACACGGAATATTACATCGCCGGAACTATGACCCGCAAGGTGCACCACTCCTGTATGTTGTTCCTAAGCATCTCCGTGGCGACATATTGCGTACTCTCCATGATGACCCCACAGCTGGACACATGGGGTTCTTCAAAACATACATACATGTCCGACACACTTTCTACTGGCAGGGCATGTACCGTGATATTTTCAAATACGCTGCATCATGTCTACAATGTCAACGCCGGAAACGACCCACCACCGCGCCCGCCGGACGCCTACATCCTCTTCACCCTTCCCATTATCCATTTGAACGCGTGGGGATTGATCTTTTAGGTCCACTTCCTGTTACGCAATCAGGCAACAGGTGGATTATTGTCTCAATTGACCACTTGTCCCGCTATGCCGAGACGTCACCATTGCCTACCTCCAATGCTGAAGATGTCGCCGCTTTCCTTCTGAAACAAGTTTTTCTGCGGCACGGACCTCCTCGGCATCTCATCAGCGACCGAGGCACAGTCTTCCTGTCCGAAGTGGTTCAACAGTTGTTAGGCCTCTGTAGAACTGTACATAAACCTACTACAGCTTACCATCCCCAGACGAATGGTCTAGTAGTACGCTTCAATGGCACAATGGCAGACATGATCTCCATGTACGTCCAGACCGATCATCAGAACTGGGACAGTGTACTTCCCTTCGTCACCTACGCCTACAACACTGTTCTCCAAGACACACACGGCTACATTCCATTTTTTCTTCTACACAATCGATCCCCAACCACACTTCTCAACGCGTTACTTCCTTACAACCATAATGAACAGCTAGAGGACACTGTCGCCCGCCTTGTCTGCCGTGCCGAAGAGGCGCGACAGCTCGCCCGCCTACGCACAATGGCTTCACAGCAGCGCCAATGTCAACGTTACAACGAGACACATCGACCTGCTTCTTATACCGCCGGTGACCTTGTGTGGCTCTGGACGCCACGTCGGCAACAGGGCAAGGCCATCAAGTTCCTCCACCGGTAAGCCGGCCCATACCGCATCACTGCCAAGCTGTCGGACCTCACCTAGCAGGTACAGCTCCTGCACCCAACACCTGACCGACGGACACCTTCGAAGGACACTGTTCACATCACCCGCATCAAACCCTACCATCATCACAATCAAACCCTCGCCCTAGAACACCCCTCTTCTCCACCAAACTTCCCCCTCCACTATACGGTCGAGACGACCGCCAACAACGGCGGGGGTAATGATACATAGACGACGACAAAGACAACGACAGGCCATCGGCAGGGGCTCGTGCACACAGGTGCTGCAGCGGGCAGTTTTGAATTAAAACTATCGTTCGGAGGGCACCCCGTTCCCATCGCTCCTTCCAGCACCATAACAATATATATATATATAGGATTTCTTTCTTTCTTTCTTTTTTTCTTTGTACGATTTCAGATGAAATTATTCAACTAAACCACAAACTCGCGAAACTGGAAGGTTTTGCTCCAGCGGTCGTGGCTTTCCGATGCCAACGTCACAATCTCATCTGCAATCACGTCACGCGCTGCGCGGGCCAATGGCGGCCGGGTGTCACGGTCATCTCACTCCAGCGCTCGTGTCTTGTCTTTCTTTCTTTCGTCCTCGTCCAAAAAAGCGCTACCATGCCTTTGGCAACCCAAGACCAATACCAATTAGCCCAACATACAGCTTTGATAAGTCACTTTATAACTTTCATTGAACATGGAACTCATGTAAATTCGTGTCGGCATCTGCTTCAAATCTGTAAGTGGCTTTGTTAAACCGACATTCTGCATGCTACGAGATCCGCAACAAAATGTCGAATTTGGAATACATCGCCGCTTTCGTCGCTGCCTCTGCGTCAATCGTAAGCATGATTTAACAGCGAACGTTTTTTTCTTTCTTTATTTTCTTGCATGTAATTTGAAAGGTTAAAAAACAACTTATTGTTTCGTTTCGAGGAAGGAAAACAATCACGGCTTAAGGGCCATTCTTTATACACGTTTTGCACACGCACCGAAAATACCGCCATTGCTGACATTTTCTTCCCGTATACAGATGCCGAGCCAGTGAAGCGAGAGTTGAAAAGCCTCCATAAAGGTCACTGCTGGGAAGAAGGACGCTGTAGATTCTAAAATGGCAGAAACCTCCTCTGTTGTAATAACGATGAAGCTTAGTAAACATAATATGAGGAACCAAACATTGAAGGTCAGTTACGGCGCCGCCCATGCACATCTGCTGTAAAACGTCTATAAATGGCGTCCACGCATGCACGCTCCACGTAGTTGCCGTTATGCGGAACTTATTTCTGGTAGCACTGTGTTTTTTGGCGAATGGCGTACGTGCTGGCGATGATGTCTACTGCAGAGATGAAAGGAACCAGAAAGTGGAGTGGTGAGTACATTGAGAATCTGCTAGTTCCTGCTGCGGGTACCTTCAGACTGCTTAGTTTCTGTAGTCACTGTATGGAGCTTGACCACGATGGTGACCTGCCCCATGCTGACCACATGAATCGGTTTCTTTAAAAATTGTCATTTAACTCAACTGTGCTCTGACTTTTAATTAGATGCGGCATTTTTAGTGATGAAAGAACTGTGTTCAACTTAGGAAAACATGCTAAAGAAAACATCATTTTTTAATCAAGAAAGACTAGTTCGCGGGAAACAATGAAATCAGCGGTGGCTCACTAAATAAAAGGAATAAAACGTAGGTTCCGCTTAGTCTTGTACACGTTACAAAAAATTTGATCAATCGCAACTACAATTACTCTTGCTTAAAAAACATTTTATTAAATTACTCGATTACTTGAGAGGAAAAGTAATTGGTCATTACTTAAAAATAGTAACCGTTACTGTTCCGGTTACTTCATATTTTCAAAAAAGGCAAACGTCTGCTCTCGTTTGAAAACGTGGATTTTGTGCTGTTCATTGTGGAATTTGAATCACCGGATTACACACTACTCATCTCAATTCACCATCCTTGCAAGATCATTTGCCTTTCGTAGGCTTTGTTTGAAGATTTCTTGCTATGAAAGTTCTGGAAACAAAGGGTACCGTTGAAAACAGAAGGAGGACAACTCCGTTCGACGATGTTTGGAGCAAAAAGAGAAGACACAATGAGCACAAAAATAAATGCTTCAGAAGCTCAATCAAAATGGTGTCCCCCCCAAAAAAATTTAAAAGGTTTTTTTTAGCTTAAAATATTCTAAGCATCACCGAAGGCTCATACTCCGCCCAAATGTAGTACTAACCGTTCTTCTATTCAAATATTATGAACGATTTTCTGAATTTTTTTTTAATCGGGAATATGCGGCCGATCAATCTCTCGAATATGTGGAGCTGAAGAGCACCATTTACCGAAAGCGTGCAAAAACAGGCTAAATTTTTCCCTTGAAATTTTCAGAAAATCCTTTCTAACTTTTAGTTCTGAAACCTTGGCATCGGTCTGAGCTGCTAGAGCCACATTTGGGTGGAGAATAAGCGATTCGTAAATCTTTTTTTTTTTTTTTTTTTTGTAAAAAAATACAATATCTTTTTTTTTTCTCTCTTTTTTTTTATGAGGGGAGGCGGAAGGCTGTAGTTCACAGTAATAAATAAAGAAAACCGAATAAAGCTTCGTTGCTCGAGGAAACGTTTGCCCTTCCGCAACTTCACACAAAAAAGCACCAAAATTTTCATTCGGAAGCGGTGCATTTTTATGAAATGCCGACCGCTTACCTCAGATAGGACAAAAAGATCGCTGTATTTGTCGCGCCTTATCTTTGACATTATCTGGTTCTGGTTTACTTTGAGGGGCATCAGGGTATAAAAATGCTCTGAGCGGGATTTTTTTTTTTTAATGGGAGGATAGGTTTTTCAACGGTGAATAAAGGCGCAGATGCTACAATCATCCTAACCCTTATACTTAAAGGCTTTTGTAGAAAGATCAACCGACGCAGTCCCAGTTTGAAACCCAACAAACCGCTGTATACACTCCGTGCGACGCGACCGGCGCGCCGCCGAGCGGCCGTTACCGAAGGTAGGCAGGGAGAACCCCAGCCAAACGAAACCATGCACGCCGCGTACATTGCTACGCATTGAAGTCGAAGCGGTGCCGTTGCGCTGGGTTGATAAACTGCTGCGTCCTCAAGTGCTCCAGTAGTTATGCGTCGTGTCTCGTGGGGACAAAGTTTCATAGTTTTTTAACTGGCCGATGATATGCGGGACAGCGACAACGATATACCTGTGCCACACCACGCCACAAATTTGGTCTTCCGATTATGTCTGCTACTGCGTCGGCGCGGCTGACATATTCTACACTGCCGCTTTGCTCTCTGCATTTGTTTTGATGCGTTAGCATTAAAACGCACGTTTTGACGAAAACCCGGAGGTGTCTTTTATTTGTCAGCACCGTGGAGAGAAAGAGAAGGAGGGGGAGAGAGCTTCGAGAAAGCTTTATCTGCTGCAATTCTTGAGCAAAACCAAATAAGAATATCTTTGAGTTTCTATAAAAATTCCCAGGAAACAGCTCGTTCACGCCAGATTGTTTTGTGCACTCCGTGCACTCCGTGCCATTGTTTCCATTGCTGCTGAGGCCGGTTCCAAACAAAATATTCAAGGACTCAGCCGCACCAAAAGTGAAAAAATTAATAAATCAGTATATATATATACATATATTCAACGACGTAAAATTATTCTCTTTGAACTCTACCACAGTTTGCGAGTTGTCAAACGAAAGTGACTTTTTCCTTTGGTTTTAAAGTGCGCAAGGTGGTGGTATAATTTCATGAAAAAGCGGGCAAGCTTGTGTAAGACAAAACGTAAATACTGACCGACATAAGATCAACCTTACATGTACAATTAGCTCTGTTTGTGCCTGTATCGCTCAGTCATACCGTTTGTCTGTCTGTGCGCGTGTGCACGCACGCATACAAGTTTTTGTTTGTTTCCTTCGCATTATGATATGCTTGCATGAAATGCCACGCAATTAACGAAAGAAGTGAAAGATAAATACAAAGCTCCCCTCTCTGATTAGCGCAGAAGAGCACCGCATTTTGCTCGTGTTCAGTGTGCTATACATTTTTATTTGCCTGATGTTTTTTTTAAAGCAAAATAAATTTTCATGGACGCCGTCAAATCACAAACAAACAATAATCAACAGGTATTTAGGGTATTAGTTTTGCAGGAAATGATTTTTTGAGAAAAAGGTGTTTTTAGGAAAATGATCATTGTGATATTGGTGTCGCTTAAATAGCGATTTAAATCATCTTGATTTTTTTCTCTACCCTGAACTCAATGAATTCGAGGTAGATTAATTTGACAACAAAACTGCCTCGTCAATTTCGGAAACAAAAATGCAGTGGTTGCGCCTTCCAGAAACCGGGAAGGTTTCTCGTCGGAAGCCAGCATGCAGTTTGATTGATAAAAGATGTAATTTTTTTTATAAATATAAGAAGCGGAGAACAGCTAAACAACCTTCTTAGCCCTGTCCTAGTCCTCATGCAACATCACCCTCGACGTATCGGCTCAAAAGCCAAAGCTCCGTCTGTTACTGCTTCCGCCACCACAGCTTCGCACGCGAAAAGGCGCACAGGCTGCTGAACGCGTCTCACTGTCGAACACCAGCTCCTCCGCTAGCGGCGCTACGCGCGTTTTTCAATGCGCCTCCTATACACGAACTCATCTCTGTTACGTCACGGCGCGGTGGTTGCGCGTCGGTCGCACTTCCGGTCTGGGGTTGTGGGCAGAAGTCCCCATGCGAGACGTGTATTCCTGCGTTGCTTTTGAAAGGAACCTGACAAAAACATGCCTTCTCGTCAAAACGCCGCGACTGGGGCCGTGCTAAAAAAGTCGAGAAAGGTTTGAAGGACAGTTTTCATGTGCTCGGTTCGTCCGAGAAGGTGGATATGTGCCGTGAAAAGGGAAAACCAGACGCCGCCGGACCACGATTGCTTGGGCGGGAAGCACTTTGGATTGAATTCACGGATACTTCTGGTCATCAGATTTATTTGTTTTGTTCTAACATGAACGGCGAATAACCGCGAAGTTGTACGGACCACCTGCGGACTACGTTCAGTGCGTCTTCAAGTTCAAACGGCCGCTTGACTGTTCAAACCGTCGTCTGCTCTTTCAAACGTTTCTGCTTGTCGTCTGCTCTTTTAGACGACACCGGCCCGTAGCCCAAACGTGGGCCCGGTACGTGCGATAAGAAGTAAGTGCAGGACTCCAAATACTCATGTTTGAAGGTTGGTAAGCAGCCTCGATGTAAACAGTAGATAAAAAGATGTATTGATAATTGTTGCCAGTGACCATCACCGACTTGTTATGCCTGATTCACTTGGTCCGATTCTGCTTGAGATTTTCAGTATAGACGTCGACCATCTCAGCTACGGTTCACGCTTTTGCAGCCCGATTGACGTCCCGACTGAAAATTGCGAGCGGAATCTCATCTTGCGAATCAGGCTTTAGCGTACATTCTGTGAGATCCACGCGGAATGAATTGCCGCATGTCACGTTATTCACGAGAATTTTTGCGGTGTAACGAGCCTCGGTAATTTCGCTGAGGCCGCTCAAGTAGTCAGACATCGCCAGGAAGACGTAGAATCTATCATGCGAACGCGAAAAAGGGCAGGGGCACTCACACCGACGCCGACTACATCGCATTTCAATGGTTTGATTATGGGCGACGGCGAGCTTCTTGACCATAGCCCCATCGCGCATGCGCGGCGCCGGTGGCGTCCGCTAGGGGAGCTCCGGTTTGTTTGTAAACATGCGTTGGTGTATAGTTCCCCACGGAGCCAATATACTGACCAGAAAAGGAGCTAACCTCCTCTCGTACAGATTGGTAACAACCGTTTTACTCTTCGTGGTTCCGAAGATTTAAAAGCTTTTAAAGTGAACACCATATCGTTGCAGTTGTAGTTCGAACTGTGATGGCCGTAGTCGGAAACAGGTAAGTCGATGGTGGGGGAAAGGGGGCGGGGGGCGGACGATGCACAACAGTAATGGTTACAAAAGAGGGAAGAGGAGAGAAAATAAATGAAGGTAGTGGAGAGGTTGGCAGCCTTTGAATCGGCGCAGGGAAACTGCATAACTTGAAAAGTGAAAAGAAATTTATGGTATGAGAAGGATGAAAGGATAGGAAAACGAAAAGAGAAAAGGAGGATAAAAATGTGACAGTAGCAGCAGCCCAAACAAGAAGCGGGTGGCTATAGAGTATTACAATGCCCTTGCTAAAAGGCACCCCACAAAACAGGTAATGTACGAAAGTTATACTTCAGTTAGCACTGCATACTTCTTCGCTAATTGTCCGATGAGAAGATACATATCAGTTCCACACACACTGCAGAGCATCCACTCACTCGTACACGAGATCACGAACATACACAATCAGTGTCCTAGCGTTTATTAGCTATA